CGTATGTATTGATTATTTAGTGGATCCCACTCAAACATTAACCCAGATTTTTCATTTCATTGGTGCAAAATATAGGCCAATACAAATGTAGACCATGATACACATCACACTGAAACAATTTTTTGAAGAAGTTATATGCAAAATAAGAGAGAGCTAAGGAAGGGGAGTTGGAAATAGTAGAATTCTCACCAAAATCACTTTTTTATATGGTACCAAAATGCATTAGTCTAGACATAGTTTGTGGTTCCATTTATATTACTGTTTCAGGAAGATAATATTTGTATTAATTAATAGCCTAGTTACTATGACCAACAGAAAGTCCTAGTTAGTATATTTGACTTCACCCATAGCTCGGTCACACAGTGAGTGACCATTAGGGTATAAGATACAAGATGTTCTAGGCTAGGTTAAGGCAACCTTCAGCACTCTAGATGTTGTGGACTACATCTCCCCTGATGCTTTGCCAGCATTATGGCTGTAAAAGCATTAAAGGAGATGTAGTCCACAACATCTGGAGTGCCGGAGGTTGCCTAACCCTGTTCTAGGGAAAAACATTCTAACACTTCACCACAATTCCAGAAAAGGACCACACTCTGTAATCAGTGTGCTCCAGATCATTTCCACAAGGTGGATCCTTTAAAGTACTCAGTTTATTGAAAAATACGCAACATGGTACAGAAAAAACTCAAAGACCTCATAAGTAACATGCGATCTAGATGAAATCCTAAACAAGTTAACAAAAAGTGCAAAAAAAGTTAAAGAAATTCAAAATCCTATATCCAAGTACCTGCGAGAAGGCAGGGGGAAAGATAAACAATGAAGGCTAGGACTTACCCTAAGCCGGTTCTGTACGATTTTCATGTTTACCCAAACTCATTATAAACTATCATTCCAACACGAAAACATTCTAACCCTATCTTCAACTGGTTTGACTGTACAGTACAGTGCATTATAGTTGTAAGCTATTTGTATGTGATTATTTAAGATATCATTCTATTATTCTTTGTCACATGTTTCTTAGGTAAAATATATATATATATATATTTTTAATATGTTTCTAGTATTTGGGAGAGGCGGAACATCCTTTTTTTATTTTTTATTTTAGATACGGTTTCCGGCTAGACTAAAAATTCCCTGTTGTTATGACATTACTTTCCTAATTGGCTCTGCCCCATTTGATTTATTATTGGTTTCAAATATGTTTCTGTGGAAATTGAATTAACTTCTTCCCAATTCAAACGTTCTCTCGCCCAAGAGCACTTTGCTTTAAAAACTTTATGAAATGGATTTTCATTTTATGTTTTGCAAAATGAACCCTGTTCATCAAGTTAGAACATGTAAGTGTGAAATGTTGATTATTAATTTTATTCTCGTGTTATGCTATAATTGAATGTGTCTTAGCAAGAAACACTATCATATTTTTATTATTTTACTTTCACCTATGTAATATAGCTGTAATAGAAATAAAATCAGAATGTTTTAATTAAAGCAAAATAATTGTGTTTTCCACAATTAGTATTGCAGAGATATTCATTTTAATTGCTCAAGAGATGCATAGTGTATAGCTCGGAAGGATAATCCTGTCTATACAGTATACTTAGCACAATTTTAAGCAGATTTATGTGCACACTTGACTTACTCAGAATTTCATTTATGATAGTCTTCATTTGACTAAATTCTCAGAACTGATCTCAACATAAGTATGTTTTTCCACCCAGTCAAATGTATATATTATATTATAGAGGTATATTTTAAGGGAACACTCCAAGCCAATGGCCCACCAACAATTACGTAATTACATATTTCCCTGTTTTATTCCAATGGAGATACTGACAAAACCTGGACTTTGAGAAAAACACTGCTCCAAGGATCATAAACATTACAATGTGCTATGGTGGTTATGGTGCCAGGAGTGCCCTGCCATTTTCTAACAGTTTGACTTCTTATCTGAGGTCCACTGGGCACCACTGCCTGCTTTTCTAACAGCAAGAAGCTCTCTGTCTGGGCTAAGCCCTACACCACTCTCAGCCTATGAGCTGGTGTTGTAATTCAGGTCTTGGTTTAGGAGAGCTAAAAGAAGCTCCATGCAGAAGTTTCAGACACTCAGACCAGAAGGAAAGAGGTAAGTAGCTGCACCAAGTGAATCCCAGGTAAGTAGTCAAGCCATTTGAAAAATGGTTTGATTCCTTACATTGGGGTTCACCAGAGCACTCCTGGCACCATAGCCTCTACAATGCACTGTAGTGATTATGCTGCTCAGAGTGTTCCTTTAAGAGCTCTATTGCTAGCTGATAAATTATGTATGGAAATCATCAGATACATACCATGGAGGATGTACAATGTATACAATCCTGGTAGGAATCTAGTTTCCACAGCCCAATGATATACATCAGCCAGCAGGTAGTTCTCAGCTCTGGAGTACACATGCAATCTTCACTTGGTAAATGCAATATACCTCTCTAAGTATAATGAAAAAAAACAAGATTGCCAGGCAAAATAAATGTAGTGCTCTCTCACCTGGTCAACATAAATGCTGGAATCTCATTGGGTAATATTGGTCCAGAGATTGCCCAGAGACTAATTTTCTTTGTTTGTTTGGTTTTTGTTTTCATTTGTAGAATTTTGAAATTTTTTTCACTTCATTCCCAATTAATTTCTGAGCTAGTTGGCTTCATTTTGTGCAGTAATGGGGATATTCAAGAGTATTTCATATAAATTCAGATTACCGTATATACTCGAGTATAAGTCGACCCGAATATAAGCCGAGGCCCTTAATTTTACCACAAAAAATGGGAAAACGTATTGACTCGAGTATAAGCCTAGGGTGGGAAATGCAGCAGCTACTGGTAAATTTCTAAATAAAATTAGATCCCAATAAAATTACATTAATTTAATATTTATTTACAGTGTGTATATAATGAATGCATTGTGTGTTTGTATGAATGTAGTGTGTATATAATGAATGCAGTGTGTGTATATAATGCAGTGTGTATATAATGCAGTGTATGTTTGTGTGAATGCAGTGTGTGTTTGTGTGAATGCAGTGTGTGTATATAATGCAGTGTGTGTATATAATGCAGTGTGTGTTTGTGTGAATGCAGTGTGTGTATATAATGCAGTGTGTGTTTGTGTAGTGTGTAAACTGGGTGAGGGGAGGGCATTTTTATTATTTTAATTTGTTTATTTTAATATTATTTTATTATTATCATTTTATTTTAATATTATTATTATTTTATTTAATATTTGTATTATTTTTTATTTTACTTTTTTCCCCCTCCCTGCTTGTTGCCTGGCCAGGGAGGGGGACTATGTGAATTCCTGGTGGTCCAATGGATGGGCTGTGCAGTAATGGGGATATTCAAGAGTATTTCATATAAATTCAGATTACCGTATATACTCGAGTATAAGTCGACCCGAATATAAGCCGAGGCCCTTAATTTTACCACAAAAAATGGGAAAACGTATTGACTCGAGTATAAGCCTAGGGTGGGAAATGCAGCAGCTACTGGTAAATTTCTAAATAAAATTAGATCCCAATAAAATTACATTAATTGAATATTTATTTACAGTGTGTATATAATGAATGCATTGTGTGTTTGTATGAATGTAGTGTGTATATAATGAATGCAGTGTGTGTATATAATGCAGTGTGTATATAATGCAGTGTATGTTTGTGTGAATGCAGTGTGTGTTTGTGTGAATGCAGTGTGTGTATATAATGCAGTGTGTGTATATAATGCAGTGTGTGTTTGTGTGAATGCAGTGTGTGTATATAATGCAGTGTGTGTTTGTGTAGTGTGTAAACTGGGTGAGGGGAGGGCATTTTTATTATTTTAATTTGTTTATTTTAATATTATTTTATTATTATCATTTTATTTTAATATTATTATTATTTTATTTAATATTTGTATTATTTTTTATTTTACTTTTTTCCCCCTCCCTGCTTGTTGCCTGGCCAGGGAGGGGGACTATGTGAATTCCTGGTGGTCCAATGGATGGGCTGTGCAGTGTGGGGGCTGGCAGCGAGCTGTTACTTACCTTCCTGCAGCTCCTGCCAGCTCCCTTCTCCTCCATGCAGCTCTCCTGTCAGCTCCGTTCTGCTCCCAGTGTAAACCTCGTGGTTTGTGTGCCGCGTGGAGCGTTGCCACGGTAACGTTGCGTGGCAATGCTCTGACAGCCGCGGGTGTCGCAAGATTTACACTGGGAGCAGAACGGAGCTGACAGGGGAGCTGCACGGAGGAGAAGGGAGCTGACAGGAGCTGCAGGAAGGTAAGTAACAGCTCGCTGCCAGCCCCCAACAGGACCGCTGGGCTTGCAATGAGCCCGGCGGTCCTGGTCTGTATTATTAATGTAAGTTGCCATAATACAGACATTGACTCAAGTATAAGCCAAGTGGGGGGTTTTCAGCACAAAAAATGTCGGCTTATACTCGAGTATATACGGTATTTAATTTTGAAATGTATGAAAACCAGTTTGAAAGTGGATCTGCAAAATTTGCAGAAAGGTACATTTAGAAAGAATCCTCTAAAATATTGCCTCCTGAGTATTTCCCAAATTAAAAAATATATAATTATCATGATGGGAATAATATTACTATAATGGGTGGTAGCAGAATTTTTTTAATTGAAAACCAAAATAAAGGAAAATAAAAAAACACAAATTGCATCAAACCTTTTCATAAATAGTAAAGTGTAGTAGTTATACTTTCGTAGTATTCTAACATGACATATACAATTCCTAAGCCAATTATTTTTGCATCTATTTTATTTCCTAGACTTTCAAGAATGAGGCGAAGATGCTATCATTTTCCAATCCATTATACGACAAGAACGAAGTGGAAATTTAGATTAGACGTGACTACAATCATATTTCTCAATATTAATGTTTCATTGTACTATTTGCAATAGGAAAAGTTTTATGTAATTTATATGAAACTAATCTTATCATATGTATTAAAACAGTAAAATGAAAGTTCATACGGAAGTAAAATATATAATACTAAAGTATTTTTGTGTAAACAAAATGCCCTGTAGACAAACTCACAACACATGTATCCTACACATTTATTGGCAGTGCAATTAAAATTAATTTATTGAAAATTAAACTTTGACAATGTTTTACAATGAAATATAGGCACTGCTGACACTACTGAGGCTGAAGGTGATATCAAAAGATCTCACTGACCAGTTCAGTGTTCATTTATGGGGAAATGAACATCAGGTGGCACCATTCAAAGGCTTCATAAACATTTACCACAAAAAATCAGGTCTCCCCCCTCCCCTTCTTGGATATATGTAAGGGAGTGTAATACATCTGTTTGGAAAGGTGAGATGTGGGTGGCAGGAAGGAAAATATGGAGGTATGGGGAAGAAAGGGGGAATACGAAGGTGTGAGTGTTGCATTTAGGGAATATAGAGTTATGGTGGGACATATGCAGGTTTGAGTGGAAAGAGACATATGCAGGTCAGATTGGATATCCTATAGAACAGGAACCTCCAATCTCAAGGTATTGATATGTAAAAACGATGTGGGGGCTTATAGTAGAAACATACATAGGAGTGAGGTGTAACAGAGGGGTATATGTATGTGCCGGGAGAGACTGAGGGGCAATATGGAGTAGTGGGGAATAATAGAGAGGGAATATGGAGGAGTGCAGGAGGCAGTGGGGAATATGGAGGTGTAGAGGGGAATGTTTTAAGATGGAGTCCACCCATGTACCAACAACATGATTCGCAATTCCCTCTCAAATAGTAAAGTGTGGCTGTTGAAATAGGTAGTACACAAGTCTCCAGTTCCACACATAGCCACCACTGTACAAGACAATCACAGAGGTTTCATTCATTAATCTCAAAATTGGGGTGAGTAAAAAAAAATCTGAATTGTAAAATTTAAGCTAAACTGCCAAACTATGATTATATATGAGTTGGATAATTTTTACAGACTAGATACTTTAGCCTAAATGTTAGCATTTGAGTTTTTAGCAGATAAAACCCCAGGGTTATTCTCTAAAGTGTAAATTGCCGACAATTCAAAGACAACACAAATATAACCAAAATATTAGTTATTTTTCAATTCTGCTCATTTTAAATTCACTTTCAATATCTGACTATTCACATTTTTGCTCTAGACCAAGGTATTCATGTCCAGATATTTTTTGTTGGTGTATTTTAGCAGAGTTTAACTGTTTGCCATATAGCCAATATGGAATTATTAGACATTTATCGTCACAATTAGTTTAGATTTATGTAAAACTGAACATTGCATATGGGGGAGATGCCATATGTTTTTGCCTAAGACGGTAATATTACTTGCACTGGCCCTATATGAAGGATATTAATTGAAAGTGATGCTTAGTTTGAATTTTGCTATGATATGCATAGTTCAGTAGTAAGGCTGAAATATTGATGTATTTGCTTGATGTTATAATTTTTTGAAAAATAAAACTTCAAAATGCATTATGTCCTGTGAGTCTAGTGAACAATATGAATTAATGAATAATCATAAAAAATACTACAAAATGCTACAAAAACAGCGGTTTGATTCTTAAATAAACATACAATAAATCTATTAGAAATAAATCAGAAATATTGCAATATACTTAGTATAATTAATTTCTATGTAAACTGTTCTTAGAAACACTCATCTGTATATAAAAAAAAAAAATAATAACACAAATAAAAGGAACTCATATATAGATGAGTCAATAAATACAATTGGCTCTAGTTGAAAGCACACTGAGATCCTTCATAGTGTTTTGATACCTTATTTCACCCCGGCTAATAGAACCTTGAAAATAATAGGAAACAATTATAGTGCACACCTACAAACACATACTAAAACATATATATTTTTTATATGAATTACTACATTATTAAACAACGTATATTCCAAACATTTAGTGCGTCTCCATTTTAATCAGATTTTATTCAGATTGGATATCCTATAGAACAGGAACCTCCAATCTCAAGGCATTGATATGTAAAAACGAGTGACATCACCGGTGACTCCCAAAATGGAGGTCCCCACCTGAAAAGTGGATGGGCTACCCAAGAAAGCGTGCTTCAGTCTGGTGTGAATGCTCATCAGGCTTTCTGTCAGTCTCCCTGACCAGGGCTGACAATACATGGAGCGCTGCAGAAGCACTCTCTGCAAGGTTTCTGCACAGAATAGCATGTCTAATGATGTGCTTGTGCTGTACTTGCAGGGTACAGTTCCTTGGTGTCTACAGGTGCAGAATACCAGGGAACGTTCATGCTTCCCAATAGGTGCCACCATACTTAGTTCTGAATCCTCAGTGATGTTAATATTTTTTCTCCAGTAATACAAGTATTTCCTTTACACTATTCTTAACATAGGAGTAAAGACATTCACTATTTAGATTTTTTTGTATTGTCTCGGTCTATTTAGGCATTTCTACACACTCCACTGCATATATTTCCTCTGTATTTAGCAAAATGTGTTTGTGAGGTCTGAGCAATAATATTGAAACTATGAATCCACACAGCTATTGTAACTCTGACCTGGGACTGAGCACACTCGTCTTGACTCAATCATTGCTGCACTTTTCTGTCAAAACAGGCTTTGCCAGTTGGCATGGAGACCTCTCCGCAACTTGATTCAAATCTCGTGTATGGCCAAGAGGGAATTCAATAAATGAAGGAGGAGAAACTTAAACTATGTTTCTTTTTACCCTCTTCTAATGCAATGACTTCCGTGGCTGTGCCTAGCCTAAACTAGATCGTAATGTCTATAAGTACATATTTAAAACATATTGAAAAGAAAACAGATTTATTTCACGGTGTAATTTCCACAGAAGTGATGTTTTCCTCTTATGAATGTTTTTTGATGGATAATAGGGGTATTTAAAAAATTTTTTGTTTGGAAACCATTTTGGTGTATCCCTGAAAAACGCTGTCTGTTGCTTCTGCCATGTTTTAAGGAGCACTTTAGATCATCTCTGGTTAATGTTGTTGGCCTACAGAGAGAGTTCAAAAATGTAGCCGTGAAATTGATTTCTGAGTTGAATTGGCTCCAATTCTTCAGGATATTCTTTTTTAGAATATGCATTTCACATAGAGCAGTAAGAATGTATTTGTTTGCAGTAGCCTCTGATTATTAGTCTGTAAGTATAGTGCTTTAGAGAGCCAGAAGCCAATGTATATGCATATAAAAAATTATGATTTGAAGAGTCCCCAATGCACTTCAGGCAGCAAGAGGACAGATAGCACTTACATAATAAAGTCGCCACGTTATTAGCAGTGCATTTGTTCCCTTTCACGGAGAGCAAAGGTTTCTGGGCACCAATCCATTTAGCTAATCTGCAGCGACAAGCCCAGGTCACAATTCTATACTGTAAAAATGGTGCCAGAATCGTACTGTCATTAAAAAGAATATGTGAAAACCAGAAGAAGTACAATTGTATAAAAATAAATCTGCTATACTTATGAAAAGTGGTTTCACTTTATTGTCCAAATGAATTTAAAATACAATTGTGTATTTTAGTTTAAATCATATTTAAAATAAAGCAAATTATAAGATTAAAAATATGATTTAATTGATATTGATTTCAGTGACGGCTGGTAAAGTTTTAAGGTGCCTGACTCCTCCCCCATAATTTTATGTCTCCCTATATAGTACGGAGATACTCATACAATACCGAGATCTGAGTATACTACAGAGATGCTTATTCAATAAAACAGGTTTGGCACAACATGAATATATCTACAAAATACAAAGAGCTGAGTACAATACAGAGATAACCACACCACAAACAGAGCTGAGATACAATAGAGATATAATACACAGAGCTTGGCAGAATACAAAGATACTTTGACTACAGAGATACCCATACAACAGGTAGAGCTGAGTAAAATACAGAGAAATAACTCACAATGCTGGACACAGTAAGGAGATATTCATAACTATCCCAAACTGCTAGGATCACCTCACAGTACATGTCTCTTTAATATGCTTTAGCTCTCTCTCTATCTTTCTAGCCATGTCTTAGCTCTCCCTTACATGATCTCATCTCATGTTGTGCTCCTGCTATGATAATGTTGGCTTTCTATTAAATAGTTCTGCTGTTATAAAACATGTCAGCTACTACATTAGCTCTCAGCACACAGTGTGCAGATAGTTAAAGCATCAAGATGCTCATAGACTTCAACCATGTTAGCTACTTCTGACTCACTATTGGCTCTCAGCATACAATCTACAATCAAAATTAAAGACTCAATACATTTGATAGACTGAGTAGACTCAATACTGATAGACTCAATTCATTTGCAGATGGCTACATAAGTCTATATTGGAGCCAAGAGTAGCTGACAAGGTTAACATAATCAACAATCATTACATATAAAAACAGATTGAAATCAGAATCAGATCAGTCCTCAGAGTCACAGCCCCAGTCCTGCAGTCTGAAGCTTCACAGCGTTTCAACTAGCCACAACATAGGTGTCTCAGGTCACATGACAGTGCCACATGACAGGTATAATCAAAACAACTGGTTATCAAACTCACAAACCTTTGCTAGCCACATACTGTATTTGATTAGCCAAAGCTTAGGAAGACCAGGATACAAAAATCAGACCTTATTACTGCTGCACATAATCTCAGTGAATTATTTATTAAACTCCAAATTGTAGCAAATTAAAATCCAAACTGCTAAATTCATATTATAATAGTGAAGCTGTAACAACGTCCAAACGTGAAAATGTTTCCATATCTGCTATTTTTGCCTAAAGTTTACCATTAAGCTCTCAATTCACTGCAATTCTTAGTTTTGTGAATAAAGTCATATTTTTATAATAGTGTCACACAGTCTCTGTGACATCATGGTATGTTACGGTATTAGAGCTGGGAAACAACAGTCCCAAGTTTCATACCAGAGAGCTTGGAGGCCTGGCTTGAAGCTGCACTTCCAAGGCTTCTTATTATTAAAACAAAGGGTTTGGATGGGTAGGTCAGTGAGTGGTAGACTAAAGGCATTATAACAATTAGATGAAGTTGTTAAAGGGCCTACAGTGTTTCTTTAAATATTAGTATAAAAGCAGAAAAGCCATTTTGTCACATGTCAAATACCACACTTATAGTTATTAATAAGGAGACTGGTGGCATTTTTAGCAATGTAACTTTAAAAAATGAAACATAATGTAATGTCTACGTTAGGGCATAGTTTCCACATGCAGTATTTGCAGTGACACAAATTATTTGTACAGGGTTTTGCAAGCTGCTACAACAAGGTGAAATACAATTACAAATCAAAGAGAAATGTAAGTGGGGCTTTACAGGCTAATTTAATTTTTTTCCCATGTAAAGCAATGCTAGACTAGTTTTCACTTAGCCTAATAATGCCATACAGATCCAAGTATTCTACACAATTACAATACGTATTCCATGCCGGAAGTGACGTATTGTATATATACAGCATCACTTCCGGAATAACATTCCCCATCTTATCTCCGGGCAAGTACTGGACTTTGAAAAAGCCCTTATATAGGGTGAAACGCGTCTCTGAATAAGAATCAACAGTGGACTGCATTAATTTATTTATTAATTTTTATTGTATTCATTTTAACTTAGTTGTGTAAAATAAATGTATTTGTACTTCAACTCCGAGTTGGATCTTCCTGCAAGCTGCTCCAAAGAAGGGTGGTGTTCTCTCTATAGACACCTAAGCAATTCTATCCAGAGCCAGGTCTAGAGGCTCTGGACAAGGTGAGCAAATTACTTGCACTTTATACCCCGTCACTCATACTTTGTGATATACTAGACCAGAGGGTGCTTTTCCTGTTTTGTCAATTTTCTCTTGCTCTGTGAAGTCCGGTTTGGATTTCCTTGAAAACTACTCAAAAGAAGGGTGGTGTCCTCTTCATAGACACCTAAGCAATTCAATTCAGAGCCAGGTACATAGGCGCTGGACAAGGTGAGCGTTAACTTGTATTTTCTATTCAGTCACCACATATTGTGTTATACTACACCATAAGGCGTTTTCTGTTTTGTTGCTTTTGTCTCACCCCTTGAGGTAACATTTAAAAAAAAAAAAGGGGAGAGTACCACAAGACGGCACCACCACTGAAAAGACTTGAACTTGTCCTATTGGAAGCTCCACTCCACTTTGGAACACTCCTCCACCTCTCTGTTCATGTACGTCCAATTTTCTGGTTAAAATTATATGTCTGTTAGTCCACCCATTGTACAGCGCTACGGAATGTGATTGCGCTATATAAATAATAAAATAATAATAATAATTTATTCCCATTTAGGGTAGGTGGTTATATTTCTACCATTTTACGCTCCACTCTTGAGGTTAATAGCTTTTATGGCTCTTTTCCACTTTTCAGTTG